GTATTGTTCATTGAGACGGATGGTTGGCCTGCGCGCAGCAAGCAACATGCCAGCACCCCCGCCGTCCCTTTCAAAAACCCATACAAAGTTGCTTCGGGGCGCGCGCATGCGCCAGATTTGGAGGCAGAGCTCTCTTTTATTGAAAATATACTTGGGGTGGCTTATTGGCCCAGGTTGGCTGCCACTCGCCTGCGGGAGGTGTTGTTGATGTTGTTGTGGTTGCTGTTGTTATTGTCGATGTAGTAGTAGTAGTAGTAGTAGTAGTAGTAGTAGTAGTAGTAGTAGTAGTTGTTGTTGTTGTTGTTGTTGTTGTTGTTGATGTTGATGTTGATGTGGTTGTGGTTGTGGTTGTTGTTGTTGTTGTTGATACAGGCGGGGCAAGCCCCCCCGGGGGGGGAGGGGGGGAGGGGGGGGGGAACAACACAACACAACACAACGCACCCCTACAGGAGGATCCTGTGGGATCCGTACAGGGTTCCATAGGATTCCCACACGACCCTTACAGGGTTCCATAGGACGCCCATAAAACCCCTACAGAGTTCCATCGGGCTCCCATTCGACCCCCACAGGGTTCCATCGGAGTCCCATAGAACCCCTACAGGGTTCCATCGGACTATTTCGGCGCACCCCTCACGCTGGATCCATAAGGATCCATCGTGAGGGGTCCATAGGGATCCTCTAGGATCCCTGTAGGGGTCCACAGGGATCCTCTAGGATGCTTGTAGGGATCCATTGGGATCCTCCGTAGGATCCCTGTAGGGGTCCACAGGGATCCTCCAGGATCCCTGTAGGGATCCACAGGGATCCTCTAGGATCCCTGTAGGGATCCATAGGGATCCCCTTGGATCCCTGTAGGGATCCATTGGGATCCTCCAGGATCCCTGTAGGGGTCCACAGGGATCCTCCAGGATCCCAATAGGGATCCATTGGGATCCTCCAGGATCCCTGTAGGGATCCATTGGGATCCTCCAGGATTCTTGAAGGGATCCATACACAGATCCTCTAGGATAGGGATCCACAGATCCTCTAGGATGCTTGTAGGGATCCACAGGGATCCTCTAGGATGCTTGTAGGGATCCACAGGGATCCTCTAGGATGCTTGTAGGGATCCACAGGGATCCTCTAGGATGCTTGTAGGGATCCACAGGGATCCTCTAGGATGCTTGTAGGGATCCACAGGGATCCTCTAGGATGCTTGTAGGGATCCACAGGGATCCTCCAGGATCCCTGAAGGGGTCCACAGGGATCCAGGCTCCCAATAGGGATCCATTGGGATCCTCCAGGATCCCTGTAGGGACCCATTGGGATCCTCCAGGATTCTTGAAGGGATCCATACACAGATCCTCTAAGATTCTTGTAGGGATTCATACGGATCCTCTAGGATGCTTGTACGGATCCACAGGGATCCTCTAGGATGCTTGTAGGGATCCACAGGGATCCTTTAGGATGCTTGTAGGGAGCCACAGGGATCCTCTAGGATGCTTGTAGGGATCCACAGGGATCCTCTAGGATGCTTGTAGGGATCCATAGGGATCCCCTTGGATCCCTGTAGGGATCCATTGGGATCCTCCAGGATCCCTGTAGGGGTCCACAGGGATCCTCCAGGATCCCAATAGGGATCCATTGGGATCCTCCAGGATCCCTGTAGGGATCCATTGGGATCCTCCAGGATTCTTGAAGGGATCCATACACAGATCCTCTAGGATTCTTGTAGGGATCCATACAGATCCTCGAGGATGCTTGTAGGGATCCACAGGGATCCTCTAGGATGCTTGTAGGGATCCACAGGGATCCTCTAGGATGCTTGTAGGGAGCCACAGGGATCCTCCAGGATGCTTGTAGGGATCCACAGGGATCCTCTAGGATGCTTGTAGGGATCCACGGGGATCCTCTAGGATGCTTGTAGGGATCCATACAGATCCTCTAGGATGCTTGTAGGGATCCACAGGGATCCTCTAGGATGCTTGTAGGGATCCACAGGGATCCTCCAGGATGCCTGTAGGGAGCCACAGGGATCCTCCAGGATGCTTGTAGGGATCCACAGGGATCCTCTAGGATGCTTGTAGGGATCCACAGGGATCCTCCAGGATCCCAATAGGGATCCATTGGGATCCTCCAGGATCCCTGTAGGGATCCATTGGGATCCTCCAGGATTCCTGAAGGGATCCATACACAGATCCTCTAGGATGCTTGTAGGGATCCACAGGGATCCTCTAGGATGCTTGTAGGGAGCCACAGGGATCCTCCAGGATGCTTGTAGGGATCCACAGGGATCCTCTAGGATGCTTGTAGGGATCCACAGGGATCCTCTAGGATGCTTGTAGGGATCCACAGGGATCCTCTAGGATGCTTGTAGGGATCCATAGGGATGGATCCCTGTAGGGATCCATTGGGATCCTCAGGATAGATCCTCCAGGATCCCAATAGGGTCCATTGGGGGATCCCTCAGGGATCAGGATTCTTGAAGGGGAGGATGCTTGTAGGGATCCAAGGGATCCTCTAGGATGCTTGGGATCCACAGGGATCCTCTAGGATGCTTGTAGGGATCCACAGGGATCCTCTCACAGGGATGCTTGTAGGGATCCACAGGGATCTCTAGATGGCTTGTAGGGATCCAGAGGGATTCTATAGGGTCCCTGTAGGGATCCACAGGGATTCTAGAGGTCCCTGTAGGGATCCACAGGGAGTCTAGAGGGTCCCTGTAGGGATCCACAGGGAGTCTATAGAGTCCCTGGAGGGATCCACAGGGATTCTATAGAGTCCCTGGAGGGATCCACAAGGATTCTATAGAGTCCCTGGAGGGATCCACAGGGATTCTATAGAGTCCCTGGAGGGATCCACAGGGAGTCTATAGAGTCCCTGGAGGGATCCACAGGGAGTCTATAGAGTCCCTAGAGGGATCCACAGGGATTCTATAGAGTCCCTGGAGGGAGGGTCTATAGAGTCCCTGGAGGGAGTCTATAGAGTCCCTGGAGGGAGTCCTATAGAGTCCCTGGAGGAGGGATTCTATAGAGTCCCTGGAGGGATCCACAGGGATTCTAGTCCCTGGAGGGAGTCTATAGATCCCTGGAGGGATCCACAGGGATTCTATAGAGTCCCTTAGAGTCCCTGGAGGGATTCTATAGAGTCCCTGGAGGGATTCCTATAGAGTCCCGGGAGGGATCCAAAGAATCCGTAGGGAGTTGTAGGATCATACAGAATTCATATAGAATTTCATACAGAATTCGTTGTGTTGTGTTGTGTTGTTTCCCCCCCCCCCCCCCCTCCCCGACTCGCCGGGGGGGCGGGACCGGCCTCCTCCACTGTGGCGGACGCGGGAAGTGAAGCCCCGGACCCCGGGGGGACCATGCCGGCCTGTACCTTGTTGTTGTTGTTGTTGTTGTTGTTGTTGTTGTTGTTGTTGTTGTTTGTGTTGTTAGTGTTGTTAGTGTTGTTGTTGTAGTTGGTGTTGCTGTTGTTGTTGTTGTTCTTGTTGTTGTTGTTGTTGCGGTTGTTGGTATTGTTGTTGGTGTGGTTGTTGATGTTGTTGTTGCTGCTACTGTTGTTGTGATTGCCGTTACTGTCGGTGTCGTTGTTATTGTTGCTGTTGTTGTTGTTGCTGTTGATCTTTGTCACAAAAAATGGGAACGTTGATCAACCCCTCCCCGAATGGGAATAAGGGAGCATGGCAGAGGAAGCTTTCGAAACCACTCAAGCTCTAAGGGGCTGACATGGAATCGCCCTCCACCCATGCAGACATTCATCGAGCCCTTTGTGAAATGAGCCACCCTACATCAAAGGAATATGTCGGAAGCTGCAGTGCGAATGCAGGGCGCCGTGAAGGCGTTTTTGGTCTGAAAGCGATTGCCCTTCATCCGTGTAGTTGTGTGAAGTTTGTGTTGTGATTGCGCGGCGCAGCTTCCGCCCGCGTGGCTGTGCAAAACTGTTCCGCAGATTGTGCGCGGCGCGGCGCTACGTTAGGGCAATAGCTATTTGGGGGAAACTTGGTCGCCCCCCCTTTGCCGAGTACATGCTGAACGCTCTTGAGACGACTGTGCACGGCGCAGGCGAGGCTCGCATTCTGGACACGAAAGCCCTCCATCCGCACAGCCGTTGGATGCCCGTCCAGCTTCGTGGCCACGAGCTGCGAGGAAGGCTCGAGACGCCCGGCCCCAGCCTGTCGACGCGCCGGGTGGCGCGGCGAGGAGGAGCGTCCTCAGTCGTACCTCTACCAGGGGGGGAGGCGCCCAGCTGGAGGACGCGCGAGGACCGCAGGAGGTGGCGAAGGCAGAGGCATTCCACCCCAGACCCCCTTTCGGGCAGTGCAAAATCAGGGCGGGAGGTGTTCCAAGTCCTCGGCCTCCCGAGGCCCTCACCGAGCCCCGGGCCCGTCAGCTGAACGACTCGGGATGCAAAACCGGTCCACGGGAAGGGTTCATGTCGATTCCTCCGATTCGATTCTATTTCAATGGCTTCCGATTCCGATTCGATTCGGTTTACGATTCCGATTTGGGCTCCGACTTCTCAATGCAGGGGCCTACTGGGCCGCCGCTTTCCGCCGATCCCACTTTTCCCGACTCGGCTGCCGATATCCCCCGACCCGATGCATTTTTCGCTTGCCGACCCGCCCCATCGATTTTACTCTGGGCTCGCCTGACCCGCGGGAAGCGCTCGAAACCTCCGAGGGTCGGCGCTGTGACGAGAGAGCGTGGCGTGGAGGGCCTGGGGCCTCCTCTGCCTCCTCGGGCGGTGGGCCGCCTGCCTCCGCAAGCGGCTCCTCCGCCCGGGGGGCGGCGGAGCAGGAGGAGGAGGAGGAGGAGGAGGAGACGGAGGAGGAGGAGGAGGAGGAGGAGGAGGAGGAGGAGGAGAGGAGGAGGAGGAGGAGGAGGAGGAGGAGGAGGAGGAGGAGGAGGAGGAGGAGGAGGAGGAGGAGGAGGAGGAGGAGGAGGAGGAGGAGGAGGATGGGGGAGGCGGGGGAGTAGCAGGAGCAGGAGCAGGAGCAGGAGCAGGAGTCTCGCGAGGCCGTGGGGCAGCCCTTGTACGCCGCCTCGAACTTCCCGATGGGGAAGGCGACCGCGCGCGCGGCAGAGCGCCAGTTGCCCATCCCCGATCTCCGCGTCCTCGTCCTTGCCTCTTTCCCCTCCCTCCATTATGTTTCATCCTCGGGGGACCTCGCCTGTCCCCAATCTTCTTGTGTCCGTCGCGGGCTCGATCGGGACTCGACGCGGATTTGGCGTGGACTCGACGCGGATTCGACACGGATTCTACGAGTTTGACAGATTCGACACGGACTCGACGCGGATATGGTTGTCACGGGGTTGTCACGGAACAGACATGGTCCCCCGAAGATGCAACATGATAGTTCTCCCTCCCTTGCCTTGTGCCTTTCCCCTTCAGCGTCGCCCCCCCCCCCCCCCCCCCCACACCCCACCCCCTGACTCCGCAACGAAATACTTCTCCCGACCCCCTGTCCGGGGGAAGCATCCCGCAGGTTGCGCACCTGCTGCCTGGAGGCGCGCGGGCGCCCCTGGGCTCGAACGCTGGCGCACCTCGCTGGGGCAGGCTGCGACTCGCCAAGCGGATTGTTTTTCTCTGCCGGGGGCTACAGTCGGGGCGCTGAAGAAGGAACCCTTCTCGTTGAGGAGGGGCTCGCTGTTCCTTGATTGTTTCACAGCTTGCCTTAGGCTTTTTGTTGGGCTTTCGAAGGTAAATCGAAGTTGAACTTGTGGGAAAAGGGGCCTCGTTCCGTATTTTGGGTTCCTTAGGTCAACGCCCCGATTGTAGGGCTCGTCACTCTGCTGGGTGTCGCGGAGCAGGAACGGTGGCGCCCCGGCGCGACTGCGGGCATGGCGGGCGACGTGGCACGAGCTCGGGGATGACTATAATTATTGACACATGGCTTCGCTGTTGTTTTGCCTCGCGAGAGGCTTCCCTGGGGCGCGCCAGGGCGCGACGTGTCTCGACGCGTGGGCGTTCACGGGTCTTTGGGGCCCAGGGGTTCATATAGTTCGGGGACAGCTTTGTGAGTTCCTTTGGATCTGAAGAAGTGATCCTGAACCGTTGGGGGCACATCAGCTCGGGTGTGAGTTCAGACAGTTTGGGAAGTTCCCATCTCGACGGCGTTCCCCTGGAAGGTTGCTGTGCGGGCTGATTCCCCCCCGTTGGACTCGCCTGATCGCTCATGTTATTTGTTCGTCGCTTGTGCGGTAACTGTTCCAACGTTCGGCGGACGAGTCCTTTGGCCCAACGTGTCTGTCAGCTGTTTTCAGCGCGCGCGTGCCAATGCATTGTCTCTTCGACGAAGCGATCTCGCACTACCAAATTTCGGCTGCAATATTGATAGAGCGGCTTTGCCCTCGTAGTGTAAAACAATATTACCCGCGGTGGGCGACAAGCAACCTTGGACAAGGATAGGGTAACATATTCACCACGCAAGCTGACTCTCCCCGTCCTTCCTTTTCTCCTCCTCTCTTCCTTCCTCTCCTCCTCCTCCTCCTCCACCTCATCCTTATCCTTATCCTTATCCTCATCATCCTTCTTCTCTCGTGGGCCGTCGGCCTGTGGGAAACCCTTGGAATAAGATCCTCTCCTCCTCCTCCTCCTCCTTCTCCTCCTTCTCCTCCCTCTTCTCCTCCTCCTCCGCCTCTCCCTCCTTTCCCGACGACGAGTTGATCACGTACGCGGCGATCGGCAATTGGCGGAAGTGGGCCGCTGGCGCGGACATGCAGCAGTCCTTCCCGGGCTACGCGTTCCCCCTGGGCGAGCGGAACATCCATCCATTCTCTTCCCTTCTCCCCTGTGATCCTTCTCCCTGCTTCTCCTCAGCTCAGGGGGGTTCCGAGCAGATGGGGTCCGAGGATGACGCCGCATCGCCGATGCATCGCTGACACGGCGACGGGGGCCCGACGTGTTCCACGTCGACGTCGCCGATGCCTCGCCGACGTTGGCGGTCCCCTGACCCCATCTAAGAGTGTTCTTTCCCAACCATCCTGTGGTGTTAGGTCCTCTTTTTGAAGAGACAGCGCCCCACGCCCCTCCTCCGCTACCCCCTCCCTCCTCCCTACTCCGCAGTTCGTATGTACTGTGTTTCGTGGCCCCAGAGGGAGCTCCACTGAATGTCCCAGTGGTGCAGTCCGCATGCGGTTCTTGCGTTCACTGCAGCGTTTCGTGGCCCCAGAGGGAGCTCCACCGAAGGTCCCAGTGGCGCAGTCCGCATGCGGTTCCTGCGCCCAGTGCAGCGTTTCGTGGCCCCAGAGGGAGTTCCACCGAAACTCCCCGTGGCAGAACTTCCCATGCGGTCCCCCCGGCAGGAGTTCCACCGAAACTCCCCACCGGAACTCGCATGCGGTCCCCCCGCCCAGTGCAGCGTTTCGTGGCCCCCGGGGGAGCTCTACGGAAGGTCTCAGCGGCGGAACTCGCATGCGGTTTCTCCGCCCAGCACAGCGTTTCGTGGCCCCCGAGGGAGGTCCACGGAAGACGATACTCACAATTGCGGTATTCACAGTTGCATCTGGTTGGTCTCTTCGCCCGTCTAATTGTGTACCCTCGTGGCCATACTGCGCGGCCTGCTCCCCGACCCTCCCCCCCTACCACTCCCGCAGTGCGTCCAGCACCACAGTCTGGGCGGGGGGGGGTGCTACGTTATGCGAGGAGGAGGAGGAGGAGGAGGAGTAGGAGGGGGAGGAGGAGGAGGAGGAGGGGGAGGAGGAACAGGAGGAGGAGGAGGGGGAGGAGGAGGAGAAGGAGGAGGCCTCCCGTGCCCCCTCCTCCCCGCCCGGAACGCCCGTTAGGGCCGCGAACAAGTGGCACGTGCGCCATGGTTCTTGCAAAAACAGGAAGGGCAGGATCGGATGGGGTGTGCCGTGCCGCAATACAGGGGTCGGGGCGGAGGGGCGCGCTGGCTTGTGAGTGAGTGGGGGGGCGTGGAGGAGCGCGCTGGCTGGTGGGTGGGGGGGATGCGGAGGGGGCACGCTGGGCGCGCGGGGAGGGAGTGGATCGTGCCGGAATAAAGGGGGCGCGGGTCGGATGGGGCGCGTTGGCTGGTAAGTCGGCTGATGCGGGGGGGGGCGTGCCGAAGTAAAGGGGCGGGGCGGGCGCGCTGGCTGGTGGGGTGGGGTGTGCCGTGCCGGGGGGGCGGAGGGGTGTGCCGTGCCGAAAAAGGTGTCGGGCGGAGGGGCGCGCTGGCTGGTGGGCGGGGGGATGCGGAGGGGTGTGCCGTGCCGAAATACAAGGGGTCGGGGGCGGAGGGGTGTGCCGTGCCGACATAAAGCGGAGGGGCGCGCTGGCTGTTGGGGGGGGGATGCGGAGGGGGTGTGCCGTGCCCGAAATAGAGGAGTCGGGGCGGAGGGGAGTGCCGTGCCGAAATAAAGAGGTCAAGGCGGAGGGGCGCGCTGGCTGGTGGGCGGGGGCGGGATGCGGAGGGGGTGTGCCGTGCCGAAATGAAGGCGTCAGGGCGGAGGGGCGTGCCGCGCCGAAATACAGGGGGCCAGGGCGGAGGGGGCGCGCGGGGGGGGCGTGTTTCGAAATAACAAGGTTGGGGCGGAGGGGGTGCCTTGGCTGGTGGGTGGGGGGATACAGGGGGGGAGGCGTGCCGAAATAAATATGTCGGGGCGGGGGGGCGCGTTGGCTGGTGGTTGGGGGGATGCGGAGGGGGTGTGCCGTGCCGAAATTCAGTGGCGGGGCGGAGAGGTGTGCCGTGCCGAAATAAAGAGGTCCGAGGCGGAGGGGCGCGCTGGCTGGCGGGCGGGGGGGGGATGCGGAGGGGGTGTGCCGTGCCGAACTAAAGAAGTCGGGGTAGAGAGGTGTGCCGTGCCGAAATAGGTGTCGGGGCGGAGGGCGCGCTGGCTGGTGGGTGGGTGGGGATGCGGATGGGGTGTGCCGTGCCGGAATAAAAGGGGGCGGGGCGGAGGGGCGCTCTGGGTGGTGGGTGGGGGGATGCGGATGGGGTGCGCTGTGCCGAAATAAAAGGGGTCGGGGCGGAGGGGTGTGCCGTGCCGGAGTAGAGGGGTCGGGGCGGAGGGGCGCGCTGGCTGTTGGGTGGGAGGGATGCGGAGGGGCTGTGCCGTGCCGGAATAAAAGGGGTCGGGGCGGAGGGGTGTGCCGTGCCGAATTAAAAGTGGACGGGGCGGAGGGGCGCGCTGCCTGATGGGTGGCGGGGATGCGGAGGGGGTGTGGAGGGGGTGTGCCGTGCCGAAATAAAGGGGTCGGGGCGGAGGGGTGTGCTGTGCCGAAAAAGGGGTCGGGGCGGAGGGGCGCGCTGGCTGGTGGAAAGTGTGGGCGATGGAGGGGGTGCCGTGCCGAAATAAAGTGGTCGGAGCTGTAGACACCCTGTGCAAGATAATAAAACAGTAGACTTAAGCTGTGCATGTCCCTCTGCAGCAGGAGTGGTCAAGAAGAGTAAAAAGACGATTGTCGATGATTGTTGTATCATTTTCGGATTTGTTTTGGCTATTGTTATCTTTCTTCCAGAGTCCGCCTGTAGGAAGACATGCCCGACCTCACAGTAGGCACGCCGAGTCAGAAACTGGTCTGCCAACGGGTGCTCCTCGCAAGCGCCTCATCCCCCGATGGGTCCGCAGAGCTTTCGGGCGCCTTGCGAAGCTTGAGGAAGAAAGCTCGCCGTAAGCATGAACGTTCGACGCTCCGCGCGGATTTCTTGGATTGTCGCGGGGGCCCCCGTGGCGGCGCCTCTGGCGCCGCCCCTGGCACGCTCCGCGCGCCAGGGAGGGGGTCCGGCGCAGATCCAAGAGATCCGCGCGGAGCGCCAAACATTTATGTTTATGTCGTTGTTCCTTCTTCTATATGATTTTACGAGGGGTCCGCGGAGCCTTGGTGCACTTTGTGAAAGCGTAGCGTCGACGGAGGCTGTGCCCTCAGATTCCTTACAGCAAGACTGAACATCGTATGTCCCTGCTGTACCCGTGCTCGAACAATTGTGTAGGTTTTCGGGGCTCTGGAGCCAGGGGCAACAACAGAGGGCGACTGGTCGGGGAATCGTAAGACTCGAGTGCACCGGAACTCGGGTTTGCCGACGCTTTTGGACGAGCGCGCCCTGGATTTTGACGGTCCTGTTCTCACTGGATGTTTGCAGCGGGAGCCCGAGTCAAATTTCAGACGGGGACTCGTCATTTTCGTGATGGCCCCGTCAGGCCAACCCGAGTTCCCCGAGCCCGAGTCCTACGTCTCCCCGAGCTGGGTCAGGGGGCGGAGCATCGACCCCCCCAGTCGCCCATGCGCATCGGCCCCCTCGGAGCAGGGAAAAGCCCGTGCTCCGCCCGGGACTGTGCGGCCCCGCTGCCGCGGGCTCGTCGCCGACTGGGCCAGGGGAGGAAGCATCGGCCCACCACTGCCCCATGGCATCGCCGATCGGGGCACAGGGGGGGCCCCCCGCTCCGCCCGGGACATGCGCGGTCCCGCTGTCGCGGCCTCGTCGCCGACGCGTCGGCGATCTATAGTCGAGCGCTCCTGGTGAGGGCGCGCGCCGTCGTCTGCGGTGCCCTGGTGCCCTTGCGTCTGCGGCCCGTCCTTTGCCATTTTCATTGGTCGTCCGCCGCCCCCAAAAACCCAACTTCGGCCTCAAAGGTTCTCGCGCCCTTTTTCCACCTGTTCTTAATACACGTTTTGACTGTGTCGCCGATTCCAATTCATCGTTACCCACTTGAGCCAGCACCCCTTTGCCCCCCTCGTGCTTGCATTTGTTCAAAGACTTTCGTTTTCTGTTCTGAGCTCTGAAGACCTCTGGATACCACAGTCCCCCCAAGGGAATGTGCGGGCTTGGAAAAGGGGGGTGGCGAATGAGGGAGGATAACAGGACGATGGAGGCAAATGATTGGGGGGGCAGGCTGGTGAAGAGAAGCGCGATGAGGCGGAAGAGGGGCAGTATGCGATGCCGGGGGGCAGAGCAAGAGATCCGTATAAGGTTCGGTCGATCTGATGATGCTTGCCATTGTCTGGCCGTGCGTGTGTGGATGCGGCGGCCCCCCTTCCATGGGCGACTGCCCTCTCTCCACGGCTGGGGTTCTGCTCGCTGGGCTCGGTTGCGCCCACGACCGTGCTCCTCTCGAGCAAGGATGTCGTTGGCACAGCCGTGCCAGAATGCTCTCTGAGTTGCCAGGTACGGCCATTACATCGACCCCAAACGCTATCCTTACTGCGTCAACCAGAGCTTGACTGGCTCCGCGTGCTTCTGGCAGCCGTTCGGAGCAGCCGAGGACAACTGACGAAGGGCAAAGAAGACGGAAATTCTGTATGGAGGACGATGAGGAGGCGGAGGATGATGCCGGAGACGGTGGCGGGTTCGACGACCACGAGGGCGACTAGGATCAGGCGAGGAGGAGAAGAAGCACGAGGAGATGGAGATCACGAGGATGGGGATGACGAAATCAATGTTGACGTTGAGGAGAAGGAGGAGGAGGAGGAGGCGGAGGAGGAGGAGAAAGAGGCGGAGGAGGAGGAGGAGGAGGAGGAGGAGGAGGAGCTGATGAGTTTGGGACTCGGACTCCTCCAGGACCTCGGTGACATCGAAGAGCAGGCGGTGCATCGGAAAGGCCGTGAATCGAACTTGCCCTTGAGATGGTTGGCGAGAGGGAGGATGTGTTAAGTCGGGCCTGTCCCTCTACAGGAGGAATGTTCAAAACTAGTCAAACAGTAGTCTGGGGACGTTTTTTTAGTATTTGGGTTTCTTTCTTTGGGCTGTTTTTGAGTATTCCTAATTTTTCGTCCAAAATCCGCCTGTAGGGGGACACGCCCGACCTAAAGGATGTGGAGGAAGTCGATGGGCCAGCAGGAGGCGGGAGCGGGGGCGGAGAGGGCGACGGTGGTGGAAGGAGGAGGAGGTCGAAGAAGGAAAAAGCACGTAAACATAAACTTTGGGCGCTCGGCGCGGATTTCTCGGATCCGCGCTGGGGCCCCATGGACACCCCATGAGTGCCTACGGCATGGTGGCGAGTTAGACCAACACGATGTCTGCCCAGGATCTATCGTTGTGATATCCGCCGCCGTGCCGGTGCGCAGTACTCCGCGTGGTTGCCCGGCGAGAGGGTTTCCGAGAGGGCCATCACATGTGAGCATTTTGGCTGCAAGGCTCAAGTGGGCGATGAAGGTGTTGGTGAAGGGTATGGTGGCAACTCTTTGTACCAAGCATTCTCCTCCGATTCTCAAGCGGCTCCTACTTATGGGTACTATGGGCTCAGCAGGGCTGGACCTGAACGCTGTTGTGCTGGATTTCGGCTGTGCTTGATGTTTCGTTGTGGTAGACGGTACAGGAAAAACTGGTAGAGCAAAACGACAAACAACACGAGCACACAACGAAGCACAGCGTTCAGGTCCAGCCCTGGGGCCCAGTTTGGCCCCTCAGCACCTTGGCAACGTGCAGGCTTGTATCCGGTGGCAGCCGGCCCATCTCGCCACGGTGCCTGGGCTGTGGACCGGAGCCCGCTCGGATGCCCGAGGGTGTCTCCCTGCGGGGGGGGGGCACCCGGAGGCCTCTCGGGGGTCTCTCTGGGGGTCCCGTCGAGTCTCCCCGGTGTTCCGTGCGGCTCATGGGGTTTTCTTGTGCTCAGCCGCGCCCCTCTACAGGAGGGAAATCCAGAAACAGGCAAGAAGTAGTAGTAGAGGGGACGACTTGTTGGGATTTTTCTGGGGGGGGGGAATCATGTATGGCAGTAGTTGTTTGAGCATGTTCTACCTCCCCTCACAAATCCGGCTCTGGCAGGACCTGCCCGACCCAATTCTTGGGGGCGGTCGCGAGGGCTGCCGTCCAGGGCCTCCGCCGCGCGCGCGGACAGGGCGGTGCCGTGCCCAGGAGCACGCGGCAGCTCCGGCACCGTGCCCGGTGAAGCATCCGGCGAGGCGGCCCTGCAGGGCTCCACCCTTCGAGAGAGGCCCTTCGCACGGGCGGCCACGCGCAGAGGGAGGAGGAGGAGCAGGAGGAGGAGGAGGAGGAGGAGGAGGAGGAGGCGGCGGAGGCGGAGGCGGAGGCGGAGGAGGCGGAGGGGAAGGAGGAGGAGGAGGAGGTGGAGGAGGAGGCGGAGGAGGAGGAGGAGGAGGTGGAGGAGGGCGGAGGAGGAGGAGGAGGAGGAGGAGGAGGAGGAGGAGGAGGAGGAGGAGGCGGAGGCGGAGGGGAAGGAGGAGGAGGAGGCGGAGGGGAAAGAGGGGGAGGAGGAGGAGGCGGCGGCGGAGGAGGAGGAGGAGGAGAGGAGGAGGAGGAGGAGGAGGAGGAGGAGGAGGAGGAGGAGGAGGAGGAGGAGGAGGAGGAGGAGGAGGAGGAGGAGGAGGAGGAGGAGGGAGGAGGAGGAGGAGGAGGAGGAGGAGGAGGAAGGGCTTCTTGGAAGCACCCCTGCTTTTCAGAGTCGACGAAACACAGACGCCAGCAACATGGACTGTTGGCGCTCCGCGCGGGTTTCTTGGATCCGCGCTGGGGCCCCCCCCGGCGGTGCCTCCAGCGCCGCCCCTGGCGCGCTCCGCGCGCCAGGAGGGTCCGGCGCAGATCTCAGGAGTCCGCACCGTCGAGCCGGTGCGGGCCCGTCGTGGCCATCAGGGAGTCTCCTGGGGCCTCTCTGGGCCATCAGGAGGCCACTTTTTGGGCCATCCTGGGCTCCCTCCCGGGGCCCTGCGGGCCCAGCCTGGGGCTCTCTTGGGGCCGTCTTGGGGCGTCGGAGGGTCGAAGAGGAACCGCCGCCAGGGACACATGAACTGCGCCCCGCGCGGGTTTCTTGGACCCGCGCTGGGCCCCCCAGCGGCGCCTGCGGCGCCGCCCCTGGCGCGCTCCGCCCGCCCGGACCCCACCTTGCTGCGCCATTCTTCGAGCCGCATCGATTTGTGAGGGTCCCGGGGCCCGAAGTCGAAAGTGAAAACGCCGGGTGTGCAACATGTGCAACGCCAGGATCTCAGGGCCTTCTGGTCTTGGCGTCGCTCGGACGTGTGCATTTTTCTCGGCGAGAACCATAATATATATATATATATATATATATATATATATATATATATATATATAACACACCAAAAAACACGCACGAATCCGAAGAATGCTCGTGGGTCGCTCAGTGGCCCCCCTCGTGGGGCCCTCGCAGGCCGCCAGCGGGCCAGCCTGCCCCCGCGGGGCGCGGGCTCTGCCAGTCCGCTCGGCGCGCGGCGCCGCAGGCCTCTCCGCCGGAGAGGGGCCCCAGCCGCGCCGAGAGCGCGCTTGCGGCGCGCGGCTCCCCCCTGAGATCCGACGCTCCAAAAAAGTGGGAGCGGCCGGTTTTTGCCAGTTTTCGGTCTCCGGGGGCCCTCGCCGGGCCTCGGGAGCGTCAAAAAACGACTCAGGACGAAAAACGTGTCCCAGGGAAGTGGTCCAGACCTCCTGGGTCCACGCCCCCCAAAAATTGGAGCAGCTGGATGTCTGGGCCCGCCGCTTCCGAAGCCATGCGTCTAGGCGTAAGTTAAGTCGGGCGTGTCTTTCTACAGGAGGAGAAGTTCGGGGTGGACAAACCTCCTACCCCGACACGTCGATTAAGGAATTGGCCGTTTTCGCTTCGCGAGGGGGCATCGCGGCCGTCACTTTTGCGGGTCCAGGTCCGTCGGTTTCGGTTCCAGGCTGTTTTCACTAAGGGGAGGTTTACTAAAGGGAGGTTTGTCCACCGCCGAGTTTTAGAAACGTCTGGGGACGATTTTCGAATCAGGTTTGGCTATTTTTGAATGTGTTTGAACATGTGTTTTCCGCCTAGAGTCCGCCCACAGGAGGACGTGTCCGACCCAAGTCTTAGGCCTCGTATATGGGGTCCGAGTAGGTGGGGTCGGAGGATCGCTCCACATCGCAGATGCATCGAAGATGCGGCTCGATGTGGAGCCCGTTTTTCCCCACGCCGACGTCGCCGAGGCGTCGCCGACGTCGCCGATGCATCGCCAATGCATCGTCGATGCATCACCGATACATTGGCGATGCGGCGCGATCCTCCGACCCGAGGGCGTGCCGAAGCATGTGCCCTGTGCATGCCCCTCATTCCCAGACTCCCTCGGGTAAGGAACAGCTCGTGACGGATGTTTTTTTCTTGATTTTCGTCCTTTGGAGGCCCTCACCGGCCCTCGGAACCGTCAAAAATGACTCAGGATGAAACCAGTCCAGGGAATGGGTCGAGACTTCTGAGGGTCGACGTTATGAAAAAAAACATGATGTCGGGGATCATGAATACGACCATATCCACCGCCGCTGATTCGTGTCCCGGGGACTCGGGGAGCGGTGGCTGTGGATCCTTGCCCGCCAGCGCGGGCGGGCAGACAGCCCACATTCAGGCCTCCCCCCGAGATTTCGGGGCACGACTCTCCGACACGGTGGACGTGGCCGTGTGCCGGCAGTGGACCTCGGCTCTCGCGAGGAAGGAGCAAACCGTATCACCATGAGCGTTCTTACCAGCCTGGAACATCTCCCTATCCCTATGCTGGGCACCTCCCCATCACGATGCCAATCTTAGGGGTTCCCTTATTTTTGGAGGGCGAATCCCTAAGATTGTCATCGCCTTTTGGCGTGTCGATCTCAGGGACAGGGATACGTTCGAGGCCGGGAAGAACCCGCGTTCGTAGCGCCGCGCAGATCTCTTTGATCGGCGCGGGGCCTCCCGGGCAGCGCTCTCGGCGCCGCCCCTGGCGCGCCCCGCGCTCCAGGGAGGGGGCCCAGCGCAGGTCCAAGAAGCGCGCGCGGAGCTCCGAGAAGTGGTGCTCGTGCAGCTGTTGGTTTTCCTACGCACCACCGACATCACGATCGATCTCACGATCGATCTCACAAGCGATCTCACTATACATCGCACGAGCGATCTCGCGACCGATCTTACTATCGATCTCATTGAATCGACTTCACTCTCCGTCTCACGATCGTCAACCTCACAATCGTCATCACGATCGACTATCGATCTCACTTTCGATCTCACAATCGATCTCAAGATCCATAGCACCAATTTTCAAACCACCCACTGTTTGGGTTTTTTCCTCTGGTGTAAATTTATCAGATTATCCTCGCGCCCGCTCCTTCCCAGGGGGGCAGGGGCCTCTGCTTCTCGGACTGGCAGCGGCTTGCTTTCGAGTGCTCGCTGGGCTCGGCTCGCACTTCATCACATTACGACTGGTTGAGCTCAGCCACTCTTCCGTTTTTTGTGCAGTCGAACATTTGTGTTTGTTCGTGACTGCAAGTCGGCAGTGGACATTGGTGTTACGATTGGCCAGTTGGTCGTCTCAATGGCCCGCGAACGTGAAAGCGGCCCGCGAGCGCGAAAGAGTGTGTGTGTATGTGTGTGTGCGTGTGCTTCTGAGGCTGGCGCGCGCGGGGTCCCGTTCGCTGTGTTTGTTTTACTTTGCCTCGTCGCTGCGCGCGGGGCTGCGTTCGCCAAAAGTGTGTGTGTGTGTCTGTGTGTGTGTGTTTGCGTGTGTATGTGGGTGAGAGCGTGCACTTACTATTTGTGCACATGCGGCTGTGTCTCACGCAGGCCTCTGTGCGGTGTCCGTGCTCTCGGGCGTGTGGTGTCATTGCGCAGCGCAGGCAGTATGGTGCTCTTGCGGGTTTGGGTGGGTCCTGGAGGTGAGTCGCGAGTGCTTGCGCGTTATGTGCCCCCTTCCGTTCGCCCCCTTCCCCGATACAGTCGGGGCGCTGAAGAAGGAACTCTTTTCGTTGGGGTGGGGCTCCGTGCTCCTTAATGGTCTCACAGTTTGCCCCACGTGTCCCTGAGGTTTTCGAAGGGAAATCGAAGTTCAACTTCTGGAGGAAAGGGGCCTCGTTCCTTATTTCGGGTTCCTTAGGTCAGCGCCCCGACTGTAGTGCCCGTTGCGCGCACGAATACCGAACACACTCACGACAGGCCAGCAGGATGGCGTAGCTGGCGCAGACTTCGAGCAGTTCCGGCTGAACCTGGCGACGGCGATCGTGCCTGGGACTCACCAGCAGAACGATGAGATTCTGAATGCATTGCCTGCGGATCAGTATCTGCTTTCATTCGCACACGTCGCCCGTATGCAGTTCAACATGCAGCCATCTTTGCGGGATGCCTACAAGAAGTACAGGTCTGTTGTCAATCCTGGCGTCGGCCAGCTGAGAGTGGGTGTGCATATCAGGAGATCCGATTCGTGTAGCGAATTGGTTCGCAACGACGGGTACAAGATGGAGGCGTCGAACATTGATGCGGGTCCACAGATGACAAACGTGCGCTTGTGCTACCACACGCAGGTATACATCGATGGGCTGAGCCGCGTCAAAAGCCGTTACGGCTTGCCTCTGGCAGTCTATTTGTCTTCGGACGACCCCGGATCCATCCTTGACGAGATCAAGTCGTTGAGTCCCGACTTGTTTGAGAGCAGCTCTTGGCATCATGTGAGTTTCGCGCAGGATGCACAAGAGTCTTTTGGGTACAACAAGAATACGGGCCTGACCGTCGAGTTCCAGGACGACGCAACGTCCGCGCTGATCGGAGAGACGGCGGCCCTCGACGCGTGGCATCTGAGCCACAGCGAAGTGTTCATCGGGTCCTTGGGGTCGCGCTTCGGGACGCAAGGGGTGACAACAACAGTGCGAACAGGTTGGTTTTGACGTTCGCCGACGGTTTCCTCGCTGGCGGTGGGACCAGTTGAAACAGCGGCAGTTGGCATTCTGGACGCCAGCGGTGCCACGGTTGGACTCGGTTCGGAAAGATGGTGCGTTTGGATCCCGGGAGGTGTCCGAGGACAGATTTTGAGTTGCCGTTGTCTCAGCTGGCCATCCTCCGAATTGGACACATTCCTTGCACATTCGCCTCCTTCTCCCGAAGTTGGCGCCGCCCAGGGGTGCCTGGAGGGAATCCGGCGCCGGTGGAGAAACCGCTCGCAGGTGCGTGATGGATTTCTGCTTATGTTGTTTCGCGGCTCTCTAGGAAGGCCGCGTACCTCCTTGCCGTCTCGCGGCACAATGTCGTGGTCCCGTACATCTCCGTCGACGGCCACAGCTATTGCTGCCAGAACGACGAGCAGTGCTCCCGTGCGACCGAGGCGCCCGTCCTCCTCTGGCTCTTGCTCGTCGGTGCTCGTTCTAGTGTCGCGCTTGACGGTCGGTCGCTGTTTCCCGCGCCCGGGAGGCCTGTCTTGGCCCTGGAGGCGTTTGAATGCGGGCTTCAGGAAGATACGCCACCACCACCTCCATTCCCCCTGCCTCCTCCGCCCTCCTCTTCCTCTCCTCCTTCCTGGGAGATGGATTGAGGGGTGGATGTGGTGGTGGTGTATAATTTCTGGGCCCCGTACTGAGAGACAGATCCTGGATGCAGGCCCAGTCCCCGGGATATGGCCGAGAGGTCTAGGTGCTCCATCACATCACGTCGCCGTCGCCCGTCTCCGTCCCCCTCCGTCCTCCCCCTTCTCCCTCCCTGTCTGTCCTCCCCCGTCGTGCTGGATCCTCCCCCTCTCAGCAGCCCGGACAAGCTCGTGTTGCAGCGCAGCGCGTGCCGTGTTCAGGACGCCCGTGCGAATACGCTGCGTGTTGGCTCAACGTGTTGGCCCACGTTTTGGCGAGCGCATCGAACCAGACCTACGGTTTCAGTCTACTCTGGGTGGGGCAATAATCGCCTTTTTGGATCCGGTGGGGGGGGAGATGGGCACGTGCTGTCGGAACGGGTGGGGGTTGGAGGAGGAGGAGGAGGAGGAGGAGGAGGAGGAGGAGGAGGAGGAGGAGGAGGAGGAGGAGGAGGAGGAGGAGGAGGGGGGGTCATGGGCAAGCTCCGTCGGAATGTTAGTCGCCCACGCTTCGATCAATGCTTTGTTAAGCAATCCAGATTTCTTGTTAGAGATGCTTGGTATTTTTGGAATTTGAATGAAATTGCAATAGTACGTTTTCAGTGTACGTGCCGAGCTCCGTGTCAACACGCCGCGTGTTGCGTGATGCGCATCGGGGCAGACAGGCCTCCCCCCTGCCTCCCCGACTCGCACTTCCCGCTCGAGGGCCCGTGTGTCCGCCGCCCACGGCCTGACGTTTTTCCCCCGCGTCCTCGAGTTCCGCCCGATACGCTCGGCCGCCCAGAAAAAAGGGGGGGAAAGCCCTGGGATCTGCCCCCCGAGGGGCCAGCTCGGGCGCACCCCGCCCCCCTATAGCGAGGCTGGACGCTCCCCCGTCGTGTCTGGCCCCCCTCTGTCCGGCCAAGGGGCCATTATCATGCGCGCAGCGGGGAAACCTGCGCGGGAAACCCTGCGACGCTTGCGGGGGCGGGGCTGGGCCAGGGGGGTGGCTCCACCGCTGCGAAGCCTGCGAGGAGCTGCTCTTCCGGGGCTGCGCCGCCACCGCCGCCGCGGCTGCTGCGGGCGCCGCCGCCGCCGCCGCCAGCACCGCGCCCGCGGCGGCTGCTGCCGGCGCCTGCTGCCGACGCCGCTTCTGCCGGGGCTGCCCCCGCGGCGGCCGGCGCGCCCGCGCCCGCGGGCGCTTCGGCGCCAGGCCGCGCTGCGCCAGAGCCCCCGCCGCCTCTCCGGGACATGGGGCGCGGGCGCAATTGGGCGAGCTCGACTTGACTTCGCAGTTCGCGCTCGCTTGCCCCGCGCCCCGCTACGTTCCGAGAGGCGCGCGGGCGACCGCGGCTCAGGTCGCAGAAGAGATCTGCAAGGCCGTCTTGCGGGCGCCGCCCAACAGCCTGGAGGGGGGGGGCTTGGAAGCTGCTCCTGCTCCGCGAGCGGCTCCTGTTCGCCGCGCTGTTGCGCGCCCGGGGCGGCCGGCAGAGGCGGCCGCCAGACAGCCGCGAGCAGGTCCGGGCCCAGCTGGACCGCGAACGTTGCTCGAGGCTCCACGAAGGGGCCTGGGAGGAGCTCCTGCAGGAGGCAGACGGACGCGCGCGCTTACTTGCCCGCGCGCGCTGGGAGCGGGGCGGCGACCAAAAAGACGAGGCGGCCCGCAAAACTTTCCAGGATGAGTGCTCAAGGGCAGCGGCACTACTGGCGAGCCCCGGACTCGCCCCGCTCACCGAGGAGACCGGGGAGAGGCTGCATGCCACCCGCGGCCCGCGGAGCCGCTGGCCGCGCGCCCGCGAGGACCGGCGGCGCCGCCGCCGGCGTCTCCCCTGAGCCACGAGTCCCCGAGAGCGCAGCGGACGCGCCGGCAATCTCTCGGCTCGCGCTGCTGCGGAAACTGGCGGGCGGAGTTCAGCCTAACGCGGCGCCGAATATCCTTCGCCGGTTGGTGGGGCGCGCCCTCCTGCAGCCGCGGAAGCCTGGCAGGCGCCAGTTTGCCATGGGCACGGCGGCCGGCACGGAGTTCCTGACGCACACAGCGCGGGCTCTCGCGGAGAGCTGGCCAGACTTGGTGCTTGTGGCTTTGGACGCGAAGACCGCCTACGGCAGCTTGCGCCGCGCCACTTGCATGGGCGAGCTGGAGGGCAGGCGCGCCACCCGCTGCCTCCACTGGGGCGGCCGGGGCCTCTGCCAGCGACTCACGGCCGCGAGCGGCGGTGACCAGGGCGACCCGCTGGCGCCGCTGCTTTAAGCCTGCGGCGCGAAACCTACGCCGCGTCAGCTGGGGGGGAGCTGCGAGAAGCTGCGATGCGCTCAGGGCTGCCGGCGGCCGACGCGCGCGTCTTGGCCTTCCTGGGCGACGCCGCGGCGGTCGCCCCAGCCGCGCCCGCGGCCCCAGCGCCGCCTACCGCCCAGCGCGCCTTCGGGGGCCCCGGCCTGGAACTCGCGCCCGCCGAGACGCGAGCTTGGTCCGCGGGCGCCGCCTGCCCCGCCGGCTTCGAGAACCCGGCGCGCAGGGGGGCTCGCTCTAGCCGGGGCGTCGCTGGCCGGGCCAGGGCCCGAGGCGAAGATGGAGGAAGGGGGGGGGAACCCTTCCCCCCTCCCCTCCCCGACGAGAGGGGCGAGCGCCGAACGGCGCTGGGAACCGCCAGCTACGCCGAGAAGCGCTGCGCGGGCGTGGCGGAGCGCGAGACAGGCGGCCGCGCTGCTTCTGCGCCACTGCTGCGCCGGACTACGCCGCTGGCGAGCTGCGCGAAGGCCGCTGCTGCGAGCGACGAGGCGGGACCTACCAGCGGCTCACCGGGCTGGGCCCGCTGACGGAGCCTCAGCGCGCACAATACAGACTGCCGCTGCGCCTCGGCGGCCGGGGCCTCCAGGGCCAAGAGAAATTCGCGCCGGCGGCGTGGTTGGGGTCCTGGGCGCAGAACCTGGCCGAGGTGCGAATCCGGCGGCGCTCGACGACTTGGAGCAGGCCCAGCAGCCCCTGGCCGCCAATCGCAGGGCCGCCCGCTTGCCCTTGCCGCTGCCGCAGCCCGCCGTCGGGCCAGGCGAGGGAGCTGGCGCTCCCCGCTCGGGCTGACCTGGCAAACACAACCTCGCACTTGAAGCGCAAAAGGAGCTGACGCGAAGGCTTGACCAAACCTTTCAGCCTTGCGAAGCACCAGCACGAGCGAGAACAAGGCAAGGCTGAGCTCCTGTGGGGCGGCAGCAGGCCACGCCAGGGGCACCTCGCTGGCGCTTGGGCGACGACGAGCACTGCAGCGCTGCTCGCGCACTACTGGGGCAGGACCTCGCCCGCCAGGGGCCCTCTGCGCCCACCGCGTTCGCACTGGCGAGCGGGCGGGCCGGCCCTGCGGGGGGCCTCTCTGTTGCAAGGCGCGCCACGCCTACCGGCGCTCCTGCGGCGGCGGCCCCAAAGCACGCAGCAGCGACAGCGAGGCCGCGCAGGAGCGCATCCACCAGGAGTGCAGCTTCCACGCGGCTCGCCAAGTCCCTGCCCCAGCCTGGGGCCGCTGGGCGCGGCGCTGCGACCGCTGCAACGCCCGCGGCGTCGCCTTTCAGCCCCCATGGGCCCTGCGGCGCTTGCGGTCTGCCGCTGAAGGCGCTCCGCGAGGAGGCCGCCCTCGACCTCGATGTGCAGCGGGCGGGCTGCCCACGTCTACTCATAGACGCGACGGTCCGCTACGCCGTGCCCGGCGACGCGGCTGCTCTGGACGCGGCGGCCCAGCCCGACGGGTCGGTCAACGTTGGTGCCGAGGCCGACAAACGGCTGCGCTGCCCAGCGGGCGGCCGCTGCCCCTGGCCTCTGCTGCCGCTCGCCTTAGAGACAGGCGGCCGGCTCGGCAAGGCGGCGCTGCAGCACCTCCGCCAGCTCGCCCGCGACCAGGCGCAGCTGGTCGACGAGGACCGGGCCGCGGCGGTGGCCAGCGCCATGGCGCAGCGCTGGGGCGCCGAACTCAGCGTCGCGTTGCACCGCGCGACGGCGCGCCAGCTGCGGAGCGCCCTCGGCGGGGGCTGCGCGGCCCGGGCCGCTGAGCTGGGCGCCGCGGCGGCGGGCTCAAAGGACGCCGGGGGGGCCGGCTACTTGGTGGCGCAGCTGTCCTTCCGGTTCGTCTTCGTCTCGGTGGAGCACACAGAGAGTGTAGCGCGTTTCGCGTTTGTGCACAGGTTTGTCTTCATGCGTGCAGGCGGGTAACGCAGATGAGGAGGAAGACGAGGAGGAGGAGGAGGAGCAGGAGGAGGAGGAGGAAAAGGAAGGAAATGGGGAGGAAAAGGAGGAAAAGGAGGAGCAGGAGGAGGAAAAGGAGGAGGAGGCGGAAGAGGGGGAGGAGGAAATGGATGAAGAGGAAAACAGGAGGAGGAAAAGAAGGAGGAGAGGAGACAATGAAGGAGGAGGAAGAGGAGAAGAGAAAGGAGGAGGAGGAGGAGGAGGATAAGGAGGAGGAGGAGGAGGAGGAGGAGGAGGACGAGGATTATGAGAGCCGTGGTTCCCTTCCCCAGGGCGGTTTTCTCTAGGGGAGAACAGCCTGCTGTGCGCGGCAGGTCGCACACACACACACACACACACACACACACACACACACACACACGCACACGCACACACACAGCAACATCAACGGGTGTAGTTTTGCTCGACCGCGAGGCCAGGCTCCAGCTCAGTATCATCACGACCATATCCTCGTCCTGCAATCCAGAACCTCAGGGCCGAAGTTTTGGTTTGGCGGGGCCATGATGGAGCCCCCCTCCTGAGGCTGCTGGCCTTTCCCGTGCATTGGGCGCGGGGGTGGGTCACGTCGGCATTGATCGGCGCGTTTCCTGCTTGCGTTCCACTCCACTCTTTCCTGTCGCGTGTTTTCCTCCGTTTGCGGTTGCTGCCGCTGCTGTCCATGCGGTCGGCCTGACCTTATAAGGGGAGTGCTGTGCCAATCACGCAGAACACGGGCGCCGATTCTACGAGGCATTCTCTTTGACAGATAAGATTTTTGGATTGTGGACCAGGTATGTGATCCGACTACAGCACAGCATAGGATACATTAGCCTGTAGCCATGCATACCCGGGAGGATTACTTGAGCGTGGGAAACAAACATATTCCGGTTTTTCTCGATGCCCAAGCCCGCATGGGTCATGACAGAAGCACGACGGAAGGCTGGCTTTTGGCAGGTTTCGGCCTCTGGGTGCCTTCGCCGGGCCCTGGGACCGTCAGAGAACGACTGAGGATGAAAACCTGGTTTGAGGGAGCGGGTCGAGATTTTCGGACGCCTTCGTCATGAAGTAATCATGTCGTCGGAGGTTTGGGCGCCCTTGCCCCGCCTCGTCATTCCGTTTCTTAG